TTTTCCCTTCCTTCTTTTCTCCTTTCCCCCATCCCAGTTGTTTTCATTTGAGCTGTTTCTTCCCCTTAAACAGTATCTGAGATACATTTGGATCTTATTTATTCTTTCAGTTTCTTATACTAGGGAGACAATATGATGTTTGCACATGCAACTCTGATTTATTTCATTTATGAATATGGACTCAAGTTGCATACATTTACCTATAAAAGCCACAAGTTTAACCTTCTTTATAACTGAGTAGTATTTCATTGTACTAAAAATACATCTTTTTTATCCATTCCCCAGTTTATGGACATTTGGGTTGTTTTTAAGATTTAGCTATTATAAAATGTGCTGCTATAAACATGGGTGCACATATGTCACTGTGGTATGAGGTTTTTAATTCTTCTGAGAAGATACCCAGAAGGAGAATACCTTAGTGATTTCATCTCTAATTCTAGTGTTTTGAAGAATCTCCACACTGATTTCCACAGTGGTTTCACCAGTCTACACTCCTACCAAGAGTGGAGAAAGATTCCTTTTTCCCTATATCCTTGCCACCATTTATTATTTGTTGACTTCTTGATGATTGTCATTCTTTCTGGGGTGACATGGAATCTCAGTATTATTTTAATTTGCATTTTTCAGATGACCAATGATGTTGAACATTTTTTCATTTATTTATTTGCCACTTGTATTTCTTCATCTGAGAGTGTGTGTTCATCTCAGATGCCCATTTTTGGATTGTGTCTTTGAATTTTTAGGGACTGATTTTCTTTATATGTTCTAGAAGAAAGTCCTTTGTCTGAGGGACAATGGGTTAAAATTTTTTCTTACTCCAGGGGTTGTCTTTTCACTCTGTTGGTGATTGCTTTTGATGTGTAAAAACTTTTCAGTAAGATGGGATCCCAGTTGCTGATTCTTTGAAGTACTTCCCATGCAGTCTGGATTTTGTTTGTAAACTCTCTGCCTACACCTATGTCTTTAAGATTTCTATCTACTTTCTCTTCCAGTAGATATAGTGTTTCTGTTTTAATATTTAGATCCTAGATTCATTTTGACTTTAATGCATGGTGATAGATGTGGATCTAGTTTTAGTCTTTGACATGTGGAAAGCCAGTTTTTCCAGCACCATTTATTAAAGAGGCTTTCTTCTAGTGAACATGTTTGACCAACTTGTCAAAGATAAGGTCACTGAATGTGTTTGTAGTTGTGTCTGCATCTTCTAATCTTTTCCAGTGATTCTCAGGTCTGTTTTTCTGATGGTACCATGCTGATTTTATCACAGTAGCTTCGTCATATAATTTCAAGTCAGGGATTTTAGTGCCCCCTGCCTTGCCTTTCTTGCCCAGGATAGCCTTTGCTATCCTAGGTCTCTTCTGTTTTCAAATGAATTTTATAATTGTTTTCTCTAGATCTATAAGGTGTGCTTGTGCTATTTTGAACAGGATTGCATTAAATCAGTATAATAGTTTTGGGAATATGGCCATTTGGACTATGTTAGTTCTTCCTATCCATGAACAAGGAATATTTTTCCATTTTCTGATATCTTCTTCAATCTCCTTTTACAGAGTACTGTAATTTTAAGTATGTAGACCTTTTAATTTCTTTTAGATTTATTCCTAAGTATTTCATTTTGAGAGGATGCTATTGTGAAGGGTGTTGTTTCCCTAATTCTCTCAGTGAGTTTGTTGTTTGTATACAGAAATACTATTGAATTTTGAGTGTTGAATTTGTATCCAGCTATGTTACTAAATTTGCTTATTAAATCTAGAAGTCTTTTGGTGGAGTTTTTTGGGTTTTTTATGGAGAGTATCATATCAACCGTGAATAATGATAATTTAATTTCTTCTTTTCCTATACTTATTCCATTTATTTCTCTGTCTTGTGAAATTGCTCTGGGTAATGTTTCCAGAAGTATATTTGATTAGGAATGGTGCTAGGGGACATCCTTGTCTTGTTCCTACTTTTAGAATGAAAGCTTTTAGATTTTGTTTATTTATTTTAAAGAAAATTTATAAAAATAATGGTATAAAATTTCAAAATAAGATTGTAGGAGAGTGTATAGTGTATTGTTATCTTCAAAGTAGTTGCTCATATTACAAGATATAGGCATGAAAAATTGGTCAAAAAACATAGGCATAAACCTTTCCTTTCAGTGAGATAAGAGCAATTAGTTGTATAACTATCTTATCTTGTGCATATATATAAGTATATATATTGTATACATATGAATATATTTATTTATCTGTTTTTTCCTTTTCTCCTTTACCCCATTCCAGTTTCTCTTTACTTTTGAGCATTTTCTTCCCATTTCACAATCTCTGTTGTACATTTTGGGTCTTATTTACTCTTTCAGCTTCTTACACTAGGGAAACAATATGATGTTTACACATGTGAGGCTGGTTTACTTCACTTATAAGTATGGACTCAAGTTGCATCCATTTCCCTATAAATGCCTGAAGTTTATCCTTCTTTATAGCTGAGTAGTACTCCATTGTATAAAAATACCACATCTTTTTTATTCATTCCTTGGTTTTGTGTTATTTCCAAGATTTTGCCATGACATATTGTGTTGTTATAAACATGAGTGCACATATATCACTGTGCTGTGATGTTGTAAAGGAGCTTATTAGACAAGGGTATAAGACAAAAAACAAACACATAAAACCATCACAGAGCCAAGAATACCACTGTTAATTAATTTTTCAAATGTTTTCTGTGGTTTGCAAGTGTTTATAGATAAGTGCACATATATATGTGTATATATATATGTGTATATATAAGTGCACATATATATGTGTGTATATATAAGTGCACATATATAATATAAGACATTTGTATATACAAAAAAGTTTTAAAGGTAACATTGTTTCTAAAGAGTTTGTTTTTATCTGAGAATTTATTTAACTCCAAATGAATCAGTTGTAGTGTCCTCTAAGGAACTCTTGGTAGCAAATAGTCCTTAGAAGGGAGCCTAATACAAAGAATGCACTGATAAATTTTTCTGGCCCTTTGTCAAAAGTGTTTTGCCTATATCATATGTGATCAGTGAGTCTCAAAAAGCTGCTCCAAATCACTGCCTTCTGGATCAAAATAGGGAAATCATATTTTTTGAGGTTGCTGTTTTTGTCTCAATTTCCAAAATATATGATAGCTTATTTGACCTCAGTATTAGGCATTATGGAAATAATATATATTTTGAAGACATTTTTCTTTTTATGAGTGCTGTGCTTATTGCACAACATGCTTAGTGAATGTGGTAATACAGTAGGGTAGAACCATGCTTCATTCAGTGACTGAGTTCTGTTCCTGTGATAAGGTCATTAAATGACTGGGGTGCTAAAAGAGGAATTGCATATAGTATATACTTTACAATACTCAGAACAAAGAAATAGTCAAAGTAAACGAACTTGGTGACTTTGCTTTTATTCGCATAATTCCTAATATTCTCTTGTAATATATAAAACATAAATGTTTTATATATTAAATATATAGGACATAAAATTACAGTACTGTACTATACAATACATTAAGCAAAAATTAGAGCATTGTATAAACAAGGTGTACTATACTGAAAGACATTGAAACTTTATCAGTACATACAGAATTGTACAAAAAAGATAGGTCGTAAGTCTATGTGGTAGGTCATATTTCAAAAATAATACACCTCAGTTGTAAGTCCAAACAATTAAATGAGGAATATCTGAATTGACTTCAATTTTTCTGTCTAGAATGTTCTTCAGTATTTTCTGTAGTGCTGGTTTAGCATTCATATGTCTCTTAAGGTGGTCTCTTTTAGGGAATGTCCTTATTTGCCCATCTAGTTTGAAAGGCAGCTTTGCTGGATAAGTTAAACTATGTTGAAAGTTTTTTACTCGTAGGACTTGAAATACATCACTCTAAGTCTTTGTGGTCTTTAAGGTTTGTGTTAAGAAGTGTGTTGTAATCCTAATTGGTGTACCTCTATAGGTGATTTTTTGTTTTTTCCCTGCTTTACATTATTGTTGTGGTGGTTTTGGAGTATTTGGCAGTATGATAAGGATCTGCCAAGGCGACCTTCTTTTTTCACCATAGATTTTCAGTGTTCTGTAAGCCTCGCTTATTTTTTACTCTTTTCTCATATTTGGGAACTTTTGTACTATAGTCTTTTTAGTGTTTTTTTTAGTATCTGCTTTGTGGTCTTTTCTTCTGCCTTTTTTTGTGATCTCTTTGAGTACTTCTGCATTATTTACCATTTGTCTTCAATTGCAGACTGACTAGTCAGTTCTGGGTCTCTCTCTGGGATGGAAATACGGGCCGCAGTGTTTGGCTGGGAGGAGACATTCAGTCCCATCATCTTCTCTGAGTTGGGTGCATAGCACCAGCCTGTGGATACAGGCACAGCATTCAGCTGGTGGTTGGTCCACCCTCACATTTCCCTTTCTATTACACCTTAGGAATTTTTATATCTCTGTGACAGCTAAGCATTTCATGTCAGTGAGCTACAAGATAGTACGTCTTCATTAATCCAATTCCACCCTCCAGTGAATAGTATAATACCTTCATTAGCATTTTAAATTCCTGTTAATGAATTTTACTTTGTGTTTAATTGCAGTTTGGTCTATGAAACCTGTTTCAAGTTTCACAGTGCTGTCTAAATTCAGTAAGAGAAGGAAGGCATCTATTTCCAAAATAATAATTTGAATAAATCATTTGATATTCATCCACCCCAGATTTTCCCCCACCTCTGATCTAGTAAGCTCACTCTGTGAACCATGCTTTACAGACAGTGTAGAAATAAAACTGGGGTTAACCAGCAGGGAACCAGTATTTCTATTCTACTGTTTCCTTAGCAGTGAATTCCCAGCTAGCATCAAAATTCCTGTGTAAGAAGTGCATGTGGAATAAGTGTTTGATGAGCAAGGCATGAAGTATCCATTTGTAGGATTTAGCTTCATTTCAGATTTTTATGAGTAGATTTGAGATATTTTGTTGTGAGTCTCACTTGTCTTCCTGGAAATATATTTCTGTTGACTTAGAAGGCAGTGATCTTTGAGGATGTGGCTGTGAACTTCACCATGGAGGAGTGGGCCTTGTTGGAACCACACCAGAAGAAGCTCTACAGAGATGTGATGTGGGAAAACTTCAGCAATGTGACTGCTATAGGTAAGGTAGATATCATTTCTCATTTATGTAATTGGAGGGCTTTGGTTATTGCTCATAAGTGCAGATTACTTTATTGGAATATGAAAATATTTTCATGAATCTCTGGGGCATGATCAAATTATACCATGAGTCCAGCTGGAAGCTAATAGCTTTTGTATAAATATTGTAACTCATTATTACATTTCCTTTTTCTACACTTTAGAAAGAAACTGGGATGACCAGAAAATGGAAGATGAGTACAAAAATTATAGGAAAAATCTAAGGTAATTTGCACTCACAAGAATGTTCCTCAGAGGTCAGAAATATGAAAACCAAGCAAACCACACAAATGAGGCTATGATAAAATAGGGAGCCAGGCATGGTGGCATATGCCTATAACACTAACACTTGGGCAACTAAGACAGGAAGCTTGCCATGATTTGAAGGCCAGCCTGTGCTATATAGTGATTTCAAGGTCAGCTTGAACTATGCCAGGAGACTTTGTGTCAAAAATCAAAACAATCAAAAAATAAATAAAATGAGGCCATGTTTAAATTTATTTAATTATACAAAATTTCTTTAAAGATGTATACATGTTTAGCATCTAGCCTCTGACATTTGAATATTTGAAATACCTCAATATCTGAAATGTAGGGAGTATTGAATGTATGCCACAATTGACATTATCTAATGTATAATACATTATTTTCTATTCTCAAGATTATAAAATTATAAAATTGTATTTAGGCATTGATTATAGGTATATATTTAAAAGTTTATGTTTATATGAGAGCCAAATGCAGGATATCTAAATACATATACCTATATTCTCAAAAAACTGCTTTCTTCTCAAATTATGTAAATAATGCTATATGTATTTAAATCCAGTATACACAATAAGTATTTGCAACATTGGTGATCTTGAGGAACTATTCAAAATCCAAATGAATACCCTTGTTTTGATAATAGCGGTTTTTAAGCAGCACTCAAAAGCAGTTAGTGTATTTATGTTCCAAAATACAGTATTAGAAGGCACTTTTCCATGTTAGTAAGAATATCATTGTAGCATCTGTGGAAAAATTCAGATGTTCCTCAAAAAAGTAAAACTAGAAATTTCATTTTACCCAGGTATACTTCTGTGTGCATTCACACAAAGCTAAAGTAATATTATACCGTACGTGCTTATCCATCTCTGTAACAGTAAAACTTACAAGGTAAAGCTCTGAAAGCAGCCTAGATGCTCATTCACAGATGAGTAGAGAGGCAAAGTGGGATAGCCTGGGCAAGACGGAGCATACTGGGAAGCTGAGGCACATTTTTGCTCACCTGGGTATCTTAATAATTGATGAGACTCAGTCTTATAGGAAAATCCAAATGAATAAGTGACTCTGAAAATGTAGCTCAGTGCTAAAATCCTAGGTTCAGTCTTCTGCACTGAGAAAAATGTGTGTCTATGTAATGAAATGGTATTTAGCCATAAATGAGAATGTAATGATGTTGTTTCATAAGAAATGCACGGATCTGGAACCCATGTTATGTTAAATAAGATAATTACAGAAAGTTCCATATCATGTTATATTTTATATGAGAAAATGAAAATATGAATTAAAAAGTAAAATAAAAGAGAGATGATAATAAAGAAAGGCAGACATTTTGGAGAGGGTGAAGAGGCTCAGCAGAAGGGTGAATTGCAGAGTCATGGGGGAAAAATAATCAACATATGATTATGCCTATGTACCAACTGTTCAAAATGAAAGTAATCAGTATGTGTTTCTAACATGTCACTGTCAAACTCTGAAATGAGTACGTTTTTTTTTTTTTTTTTCCTTTGGTAGAAGTGCAGAGATTGATAAATGCTGTCAGTATAAATTATGGTATAAATGTGGAGAAATGGATTTTATGACTCCTGATACAGATGTGCACATGAAACTGCTTGGTGTAAAACCAGGTGAAAGCCTTGCATGTGGAAAGCCTCTGATTGGTGATTCAGCACCAACTGTGCCCATCATACGTAACGCTGGACTCAAATCATATGTGCTCCATGGATTTGAACAGAAACTATGTAACTGTAACAGACACGGGAAAACCTTCACTGACTTTCAGTTTCTTCAGAAACATGTAAAGACAAATCCTGAAGAAAAACCCTATGGATATAAGCAGTGTGAAAAATCCTACTGTGATTGCACTGAAGGAAGTAATGCTGAAGAGAAATGCTTTGTACATAAGCAAGATGTGAGAGCCTTCAGTGTACCCAACTATGTTCAAATCCAGAAAAGAGATCACAGTAGTGTAGATACCTATATATGTATACAGTGTGGAAAAGGGTTGCATTCTCACCATGATATTCAGAAACATGAAAGAATTCACACTGGAACAAAATCCTATGTATATATACACAGTTGGAAATTTTTAAATAATAACACTTCGTTTGGTAATCATGAAAGAACTCACATCAAGGGAAAACACTATATATGTAAACAGTGTGGGAAAGCATTCAGCACACCAAGTCATTATCAGAGACACAAACAAATTCACACTGGGGAGAAATCTTACGTATGCAAGCAATGTGGGAAAGCTTTCACCACAGATACTTCTTGCCAAATACATGAAAGGACCCACAATGGGGAGAGACCTTATGTATGTAAGCAATGTGGGAAAGCTTTCAGCAGGCAGAGTGTATGTAAAATACATGAAAGGACCCATAGTGGGGAGAAACCCTATATATGTAATCAGTGCGGGAAAGCTTTCAGCACACACATCGTATGTAAAAGACATGAAAGGACTCACACTGGGGAGAAGCCCTATGTATGTAAGCAATGTGGGAAAGCTTTCAGCAGACAGAGTGTATGTAAAATACATGAAAGGACCCACAGTGGGGAGAAACCCTATGTCTGTATGCAATGTGGGAAGGCTTTCAGCACACACATTATATGTAAAAGACATGAAAAGACTCACACTGGAGAGAAACCCTATATATGTAAGCAATGTGGGAAAGCATTCACTACACATAGTTACTGTCAAATACATGAAAGGACCCACACTGGACAAAAACACAATGTATGTAAGGAATGTGGGAAAGCTTTCAGCACACACAGTGTATGTAAAATACATGAAAGGACCCACACTGGGGAGAAGCCCTATATATGTAAGCAATGTGGAAAAGCTTTCAGCACACACAGTTATTGTCGAACACATGAAAATGGTCACACTGGGGGAAAACCCTATGTATGTAAGCAATGTGGGAAAGCTTTTACCACACACCGTTATTGTCAAACACATGAAAAGACTCACACTGGGGGCAAATCCTATGAATGTAAGCAATGCGGGAAAGCTTTCAGCAGACACAATGAATGTAAGAGACATGAAAGGACCCACACTGGGGAAAAACCCTATGTATGTAAGCAATGTGGGAAGGCTTTCAACACACACAGTAATTGTCTAACACATGAAAAGACTCATAATGAAGTAAAACCCTATGTATGTATGCAATGTGGAAAAGCTTTCACTACACGCAGTTATTGTCAACGACATGAAAGAACTCACACTGGGAAAAAACCCTATGAATGTAAGCAATGTGGGAAGGCTTTCACTACACACAGTTCTTGTCAAATACATGAAAGGACTCACACTGGAGAGAAACCCTATGTGTGTAAGCTATGTGGGAAAGCTTTCAGCCGGCACAGCGTATGTAGAATACATGAAAGGACCCACAATGGGGTGAAACCCTATGTGTGTAAGCACTGTGGGAAAGTTTTCAGCACACACAGTTACTGTAAAGCACATGAAAGGACTCACACTGGAGAAAAACCTTATGTATGTAAGCAATGTGGGAAAGCTTTCAGCAGGTGCAGTGAATGTAAAAGACATGAAAGAACTCACAATGGGGAGAAACCCTATGTATGTAAGTAATGTGGAAAAGGTTTCACCACACACAGTTCTTGTCAAAAATATGAACAAACCCACACTGGGCAGAAACTATGTATGTAAGAAGTGTGGGAAAGCTTTCAGCACATACAAGAGTTGTCAAAGGGATGAAAGGAATCAAACTATAGAAACCCTGTGAATGTAAGCAATATGGAAAAGCCTTTCAGTTACTCTGGTAATCAGCATAGACATTAAAAAATTAGGAGAGGAAATTAACTTCAAATATGTAAAGTTACTTGCATTGACATGAAAGGACAGTGCAGAGGATCCCTTTATTTGTGTACAATGTAAAAAAAAATCAGTACATAGGTAGTATTACATACCTTAATGAATTCATAGAATAGAGAATCTGTACCTGTGTAATCAATGTGGGAAATATTTTACTTTTCTCAGTGAATTCAGTTTCATAAAAGAATTGACATGAGAGGAAACCAGATGTATGCAATAAATATGAGAAACCCTACCATTTTTCTCATCTTGAAAGTCATGAAAATATTTCCACTAAAGAGAACATCTATGTAAATGATGTGAAAGCTTTTTATGATTGTCATAACATTGGAAAACATGCACAAACTCAAAATGAGACAGTGTAATACTGAATGTGAGAAAAAGAATCAGAGTGATAGAGACAAAACTGTACTAGAAATGACAAACACAGATTCAAACCACACATACAAAGACAGTTCCTTCAGTATATCTGTGGATTAATGCACTAAAGAGATAGGAAAGTGCATTGCAATGTTAAATTCACAATAACAAAGCACCTTGTATGCACGTCTTCAGTACATAGCCTTTAAGGGACATTTTACATGCAAACTATTGCCTTAGTTCTGTGGATAATATGAAGTATATTTATGCAGTGAAATTTTATTGCATCCTAAAAGAACGGCAGTCCTTCATTTATAACAATGTAAATTAACCAAGAGGTCACTACATGCATAGACAAAACTTGATTGTTTTTGTTTTTACCACCTAAAATTGACAACTTTAAAGAATCAAGAGTATTTAGTGATTGTTGCCATGTGTGTGGGTGGGGAAGTTGAGCAATGTTAATGAGAAAGCAGAATGTTTTTCTTATAGTGTACAAAAGGGCATAGATCTCATAGTGACTAGGATTGATGCAGTGCCATAGTATTACAATTTGCTAATAGTTGTTTTTAATTTCTTGTACATGTACTATTATGGTTTGTGTCTAGATGTCCCCCAAAGCCTCATGCAGTGATAGGGTTTTTTTTTTGGAGGTGGCTGAATCTAGAGTGTGTAATTGATTTGTAGTGCAATGTTGGGATTAAGGGTATTGGGGTTAAGAGTGGATGATTACTGGATCAATCCACTGATTGGGTTGGCACCACCCTAATCCCGGTAGACTGGATACAATACAAGGGATGAAAAGAGACTCTCTCTCTCTCTCTCTCTCTGTGTGTGTGTGTGTGTGTGTGTGTGTATGTGTGTGTCTGCCTCTGCCTCTGTCTCTGTCTTTCTTGTTGCTTTAGCTGTCTTCTGCCACCATGAACTTTTACCCCTCTGCCATGTGCCACCCTGCCTTGGAGGCAGCCAGTTATGGACTGAAACCTCTACAGTGAGCTAAATAATAAACCTTTCCTCCTCTAACTTTGGGTGTTGGGTTTTTGTCTCAGCAATGAGAGAAAAGTAACTGACATACCCACAGGTAACTGTGCTACGTGATGCAAATGCTACCACGGAAGTATGTGGTAATTTCACAATATAAATAACAATAGATTGCACTGTACAATTTCAGTATATGATTTCATTATTTGTTTAATGAAATAAATAAAATAAATTTAGCAAAAATACATGATGTGTCCACAGAATCACATTTCTTAAATTTTTACAAATGTAATTTAGTTTGTACTGTATTTATTTCTGAAGGTATTCAGTATTAATCGGTCAAAGGTTGTCGGATATTATTAACTGAAAATATTCAGTATTTTAGTGAAATTTATACTTGGTTCTATGGAAATCTAAATGTTTTTGAGCATATAACTTGGAAACAATTGACATTATCACTAATTCATTTTATCCTATTTTGATAGAAAGTTGTTTCATGTTTTCAGAAAACTTACATTTTTAAAAGCAATTAAGCTTGCTTGTCTGATTTAATTCTCTTAACATTTTGTTTTCAGTATATATGCATTTTCCTAGAAATGTCTTGAATTTATCCTTCTTTATAGCCTAGAAGTATTCCATTATGTATAGGTGCCATATTTTCCTCATCAATTAGCGGACTTATATGAGGACACAGAGAGATAGCTTTGTGGCAAATGGTAGAGGATCATGAGGCCAACGATGGGAAGAAAGGGGATATAAAAAGATTTTATATCATATACCAGCTACCCATTATGAATACAACCTTTGTATGTCACAAACATGAATTTAAAAATGATAATAGTATTAATATGATAATGATAAAATGGGTAAAGGGTACATGGAGCTGGAGGGATGGTGGTGGGTTAGGAAGGGAAGGAAAATCATGAGAATCAAAATGTTAAATACATAAACCTGGTCTCTAAGATGAATGTGAAATGTACTTCCTAAAGAATTATCAGTAAATGAATTGAAAATACTGCATAAAGATGCCTTTCTGTCTCTTCATTTTGCAGGTTTAAATTTGAATTCCAAATGAACATTTATCTTTGTCACAGGCTCTAGCTAGATGTGTTGACACTGACTTATTTAAACAGTAATCCATTGTATGCATTTCCATTGATTATCCATGGCAGTGATTATGGGGCATTTCTGAGGGAGAGGAAGTAAGTAAACACATGCAGCAGGATACATACATCTATCAGGTTGCATTAGCAAAGAGAACCATGTATTTCTTTTTGCTATCTGTATCCTGCCATGGCTGTTGGTATATCATACCATTGCCCAAAATATATTTATAGACCCTGCCTTAGTGCTTTGTCATAGACTAACCAAAATACCCTAGTATTTTTCACTTTAGGAAATAATTTCTCACAGTTCTGAAGTCTAGGAAATTTACTACTGAAGCACTGGCAACTTAAATATCTAATGAGACGTTGTTTACATATGGTGACTTCTAGCTGAGTTCTCCCAAGGCAGGTAGGTGTACAAGGTGTCTTTGGCCTCTCTTTTACACGTATATAATTCATTCCTTTTTTTCTCCCATCAGATTTTATTGGTACATTTTAGATATACATAATTATCACATTCTTCTTAGGAAATTTGTACCTGTACGTGATATAACTTGTTTCTTTTTTTTTCCCCATTCCCCTACCCTCCTTTCAACCCTTCCTCCCCTTCCCATTTGGGAAAGCATTGTTTTCCTTTTCTAATTTTAATTTTTTTCCTGCTTTCTTTCCTGCCTCCCTCCTCCCTTGTTCCTCTCCCTATTGGAATATTTTCTTCCTATTTTGTAGTACCTATTATACATTTTGGTCATTATTTACAGTTTATGTTTCTCACACCAGAAAAATGATGTGGTATTTACATACACGTTTCTAATTTATTGCACTTAAAAGAATGGTCTCAAGGTACATCCATTTACCTAGAAATGTCTTGAGGTAATCCTTTATGCCAGAGTAATACTCCATTGTATAAAAGAACCAGATCTTTGTCCCTTCACCAGTTGATGGGCATTTGGGCTGTTTCCAAGATTGGGCTATTAAAACTCTGCCACTATAAACATGGGTGTGCATATATTGGTGTGGTATGATGCTTTTAATTTTTTCAGGAAGATATCAAAAAGGGAAATGGCAGAGTCAAATGGAACCTCTAGTCCTAGCTTTTTGAGAAATCTCCACAGTGACTTTCACAAGGTTTGCATCAGTCCACACTCCCACCAACAGTGGAGAAGGATTCTTTTTTCCCCTCAATGTCTACAACATTTGTTATTTTCTCGATAACAGTCATTGTTTCTGGGGTGAGATGAAATATCAGCATTGTTTTAATTTGCATCCCATAGATGCAAACATTTTTTCATAAATTTACGTGTTCGTACTTCATCTGAGAGGTGTGTATTCATCTTAGATGCCCATTTTTGCACTGGGTCTATAAATTTGGGGGTCTTTTTTTTTTTAACTTCTTTATATATTCTAGATAGTAGTCCTTTGTCTGAGGAATGGCTAGCAAAATTTTTACCCACACTGGGTTGTCTCTTCACTCTTCTAGTGTTTTCTCTTGCTGTGCAAAAGCTTTTTAATAAGATGAGACCCCAGTTGCTTCTTTATGATACTTCTGTGTGATCAAGTATTTTTTCATAGTGTTTGCCTACACCAGTGCCTTCAAGAGTTCTCCCTATTCTGTATTCCAGCAGATTTAATGTTTCTGCTTTAGCATTTATATCTTTGATCCATTTCAAATTCAGTTTAGCATATGGTGAAAGATATGGGTGTAATTTTCATGTTTGGCATGTGAAAATCCAGCACCATATATTAAAGAGGCTATCTTTTTCAGTGAATAAATTTGGCACCTTTGTGAAAGGTAAGATGGCTAAGTATGTCTGGAGTTGTGCCTATGCCCTCTAATTTCAAATCTGGTATTGTGATGCCTCTTGCCTTGCCATTATTGTCTAGAATTGCCTTTGTTATTCTAGGTCTCTTCTATTTTCAAGGGAATTTTAGAATTGTCTTCTCTAATTGTGTGGGATATACTGTTGGAATTTTGATTGGAATTGCATTAAATCTGTATAACACTTTTGGAAGTATGGACATTTTCACTGTATTGGTTCTTCCTACCCAAGAACAAGGGATATATTTCCATTTTCTGATCCTCTTTGATCTCCTTCTTCAGAATACTGTAATTTTCAATGTAGAGGTCTTTCACTTCCTTTGTTAGATTGATTCCTAGGTATAAAATTCTTTTGTTTGCTTTTGTGAAATGTGTTGTTTCCCTAAGTTCTTTCTTAGTGAGTTTGTTATTTGTGTATAGGAACGTTATTAATTTTTCAGTGTTGACTTTGTATGCAGCTATGCTACTGAACTTGGTTATTAAATCTAGAAGTCTTTTGGTGCAGTTTTTGGGGTCTTCTGTATAGAATATCATGTCATCCATGAATAATAGTTTAAGTTCTTCTTTTCCTATTCTTATTCCTTTATTTCTTTCTCTTGTCTAATTGCTCTGGCAAAAGTTTTCAGAACTATATTCAATAAGAGTGGTAACATGGAAATCCTTGCCTTGTTCCTGAATTTAGAGTGAAAGCTTTCAGCTTTTGTCCATTTAGTATGATGTTTGCTATTGGTTTGTGATAGTTGGCTTTCATCAGATTGAGATAATGACCATCTATTCCAATATTCTGTGGGGTTCTTATCATGAATAGGTGTTGGACTTCGTCAGACATTTTTTCTGCATCTTTTGAGATGTTCATATGGTTTTTGTCCTTGGCTCTATTAATATGGTATATTACATGTATCGATTTGCATATGTTGAATCTTACCTTCATCCCTGGGATGTATCCTACTTAGTCATGCTGTATAATTTTCTTGATTTGTTGCATTCTGTATGCTAGTATCTTATTTTGGAATTTTGCATCTATGTTGAATTAGGGAGATTGGCCTACAGTTCCATTTCTTAGTTGAGTCTTTCTCTAGTTTTGGCATCAGGGTAGTGCTTGCTTCCAGGAATGAATTTGTGAGTATTGCTTCTCTATCAATTTCATTAAATAGCTTGAGGAGTAGTGAGTAGTATGTCTGCTCTAAATTTCTTGTAGAATACATTTTTTGTTTTGTTACTGAGAATTGAACTTAAGACCTCTGGGGCTGGGGATTTACCTCAGTGGCACAGTGCCTGCCTGGCAAGTGCAAGGTCATGAGTTCGATTCCAGGTACCAGAAAAAAAAAAAACAGCGAAATAAATAAATAAATAAATAAATAAATAAATAAATAAATGAACTTAAGACCTCATGCTGACAAGGCAGGTGCTGTGTCACTGAGGTATATTTCTGGCCTTCTTGTAGACTACAGCAGTAAATTCTTCAGGGCCTGGGCTTTTCTTTCTTCATAGTTATTTAATTACATTTTAAATTCCATGGATTGATATTAGTTCATTGATTGATATTCATTTATTTAGGATTTCTATATCTTCTTGATCCAGCTTTGGTAATTCATGCATATCTAGGAATCTGTACCATTCTTCTGCATTTTCCCTCTTATTAGAATACAGTTTCTCAAAGTAGGTATAGATAATCTTCTGGATTTCTGCAGGATCTATTGTGATTTCACCCTTTTCATTCCTAATTTTGTGGACT